CAAAATATGTATTATTAGAAAATCATATAATATTATTGAAGCTGATAATAAATTTATACTCTATAATAATAATTCTAACACACCAAAAATAATTAATATTAAGTATGTGTTATTATCAAAATATTAATTAATTAAATTAATTAACTGATATTAAGGGTCAAAACGCCAACATGCTGGAGATATATGTCAATTATCACTAAGCTACACTCAGGTGTAGATCAGATGATTAACCAAATTGAAAGTTTGATGGTTTGATTATAACCTGAGTGGTTTTTGTAATTTTTCCATTTTTGAATTATGATTGATCTTTTCCATTAAATTTGCTTATTCCGTTTAAATCTCTAGTCTGCATCGTCATTACTTTGAAAGGGTGGGGAAGATATTTGGTTCTTTGTTTTCTTTCTTTTCTAAGGCCCTAAACCGACCCATGAACCAATTTGATATTGAACCGACCCACAATTGACAACCACATCATAAAATTTTGTCAAGTTTAATATAATATTTAAGGGCAAGGACTAAATTGTAAATAATTTTAAAGTACAGAGACTACATTGTTACTTTTGAAAGTTTAAGGATTAAATCGTTATTTTAATCAAAGTACAACGATCATTTTTTAACCTAAAATATATTTAGAAAAAGTTTCAGTTCTAAATAAGATTTCAATTCTTCTTGTATTATATAATAATAAAGGTTTTACTGGATTTTTTTTAAAATAATGTTTTTATTTGAACTTATTTTTAAAATAATGATGCATTAAATAAAATTAAAAAAAACATGCTTCTTTTAAAGCTTATTCCAAAAATAATACTTTTAAAACTATTCAATCACTTGATCGTCTATTCCCATTTTTAGCAGTTGGTTGTCAAGAAACGACCATTGTTTTATTGACACCACGTCTAATTCTTTTGAAAAATCTAGAGGTGGTCGTCTCTTGTTGTCGTTTCTTCCAAGGAATCTTTAAGGAAAAAATAGATATTATTATATATTATATATTAAAAAGTAGAATTTTGTATTGGATATCAATTAATGGCGCAGTGGATGGTGGTACAATTTTCTTCCAATTTGAGTCTTAGAAAATTCAATTTTTTTTCCCTTTTACTATTAATCAACTTTTTAATTATTATTTTTTTAGAAAAAAACACATCATCATCTCATTATTATTATTATTATTTTATTATTATTATATTTTATATTATTTTTAATAAACTGTGTATGCCTTTTTTTCTTTTTACTATTAATCAACTTTTTACTTCTTATTATTATGAGTACATTATTATTATTGTTTTTTATTATTATACCATTATATTTTATATGTTATTATTTATTATTTATATTATTTTTTAGAGGAATTTATATTATTTTAAATAAACTGTGTATAAAAAATATATACATTATGTAGTTATGATTATTATTTTGAGTACATTATTATTTTTTTAATTATATTATTTACTATTTATATTATTTTAGAGGAATATATATTATTTTTAATAAACTGTGTATAAAAAAAGAAAAACAAAATATATATATATATATATATATAATTATAGATTTCAGTAATAATAATAATAAATTGATTAACATTTAAAAAATAGTAGAAAAATGAGAAAAGCATCAATGAAGGCTCGAACAAGGTGATTACATATCCACTGCACCAAAACCAACTTTTAAGTGTAAAAAACAGTAATCTAAAATATAATATATAATAATATGTTATTTTTTTCTAAAAAATCAATTCGGTGTAGTCGTCTCTTAGAAAAGCAACCAAATGACAGATGGTCGTCTCTTTGTCTTTTGAGAAACGACCCTGTCTTCATTTCAAAAACATTATTTTTAGAATAAGTCTCAAAACGAGCATTTTTTCTTTAATTTTATTTAATGCAGCATTATTTTAAAAATAAGTTTAAATAAAAACATTATTTAAAAAAAATCTGGATTTTACTTGTTATATTAATTATTTTATCTATAAAATATAAAAAAACAATTTATTAAATTATTTCCTATTTGTTTTTTTTAAACGGTTTCGAAAATCTAACGTCCGTTTGATAACCATTTCGTTTTTTATTTTTGATTTTTGGTTTTTAGTTTTTAAAAAACAAGTTTGTTTGGTGACCAATTCAATTTTCTGTTTTTTATTTTTTAAAAATCATTTTGAAATTCTATATAAATTTCAAAAACAAAAAAAAGGGTAGTTTTCAAAAACATTGTTTTTATTTTTCAAAATCTGATTTTTCCTTCTAATACTTAACTTTTTTTTTCTTCCTCACATTTATGTCTAAAAAATTTATTTCTCACTCTAAATTTTTTTTATTTCTAAATTTCTCTCTACAAACTTTATTTTTCTCTCTTTAAAATTTTCATATTTTGAATATTTATTATTATTTATTTCTTTCCAAATTTTTCTATATTTTTGTTTTTCTGTTTCTAATAGATCAGTTTCATTTCTCTCTGACTAAAAATTTAATATTTTTTCCTTTGATTTGATTTTCTCGTTCAATTTTCTTTAACTCTAATTTTTATTTATCTTTGTATTTATTTATTTTCTCTAATAATTATATTTTGAATCTTGTTTTTATTTCTAAATTTATTTCTACTATAATTTTTCTTTAACATATCTTTTCCTCTCGAGTTTATCTTTTTTCTCTACAATTTTTCTCTTTTTGTCTTTTTGTCTTTAACTTTTCTTTCACTATTTTTTTTTCTAAATTTTTTTTATTTATCTCTCTAGTTAAAATTTATCTTTCAAAAGTTTATTTACATCCATTTTCATGTCTGTACATTAGGGGGAAGACAAAAATTTTCACAGGGTCGTGTCCCAAAAATAGGAAATACATGCCCGACTCCGTCCCCAATTCTATTTTTTAAATAATTAATATATATTTATTACACTTTTTTTATACTTAAATTCTAAAAATAATTATAAACAATTATAAAACATATAATTTTTCTCGAGAATATCTCTCGGACCCAAGAACGAGGTGGAGACAGAGATTAAAAATTTTCACGAGCACGAGAATGGGGAAGAACATTCTCACTCGCACCCACATAATTGTCATATCTACTCTACATAAAAATTTTCTCTCACTAATATGTATTTTCAATTTTCTAACTTTTTAAAAACAAAAAACTAAAAATGGTTACCAAACATGTTTGGGTTTTTTGTTTTTAAAAAACAAAAAACAAAAAAAGTGGTTATCAAACCTATATAGTTTTTGTTTTTTAAAAACACAAAACCAAAAACCAAAATCTAAAAAGAAGAAAAACCAAAAACCAAAAATATCAAATGGGCCCTAAATTATCTAAGAAAACTAGTCTTAAAAAATAGGCCCACAAAGACAAAAGTTGGGCGCTTTTCCAATCCACCAATGTATAATTTCATAATTTATGTGCTATTTTTATAATATATAATAGTGTAATAGTTTTTTCTAAAGGGATGTTGTCGTATTTCAAAGATACGACCAATAAAACGCGTGTCTAGTTGGTCGTCTCTTCAATAGATGATCATGTGACTGGCATCATGTCTACACTTGCTCCTGATTTATCATAGATCGTCTCTTCACAAACTATTTTTTAAATATTATACTTGAAAATAGTTCAGTRGATGATATATTTTTTAAATAAATTTAATAAAAAACAATATTAAAGAAAAAAAGTCTCTCATTATTCTCTCCCTACAAATTTAATATTTTTCCGAACTTTTCTCTCTCAAATTTTATTCTTTATAATTTTTTTTCTCTTTCTAACCTATTTTTTTCTAAGAAATATATTTTCTAACTTTTCTTTATCCAAATTTTTTCTCTGTATTCACTATAAATTTTATTTCTCTTTTTATTTATTTATTTTATCTAAAAAATATATTTTGAACTTTTTTGGTCTAATTTTTTTTTTGTCATTGTAATTTTTCTTTTTCTTTAGAAATTTTCTTCCTTTTCTTTAGAATATTTCGTTCTTTCCCTAACATTATTTTCCTCTCAATCTTACTCTCTCAACTTTTTATTTTGTTTTAACTTTTATTTCTCTAATTTGTTTTCTTACCAACTTTTCTTTTAAGATTTTTTTTATTTATCTCTTAAAATTAAATCCCTTTAAAACTTCTCTTTAGAATATTTGTCTTTTTATCTTTTTAAGCTTTTATTTTCATGTCTTGTGACAAAAAAATTTCGTGATTCTATTTTTTAACTAATTAATATATGTTTTATTAATTGTTTTACTAAATAATGAATAAAATATTAAATAGTTTTTAAAGTTAATTATTTATACTAATAAATAATTACTTTTTAGTAATATATATAAATATATTATTTTATAAATTCTTTTTTATAATTTTTTTTCTCTTTCTAACCTATTTTTCTCTAACAAATATATTTTCAATTTTTCTTTATCCAAAATTTTTCACGTTCAATTTATACATATCATACATACATATTATTATTTTATAAATTCTTTTTATTTTGTAAATTCAAAGAAATTCTAAAAATAATCAAAACCGTAATTTTTTCCAAGAAATTCCTCCACGTAGACCTTAATTATAGAAATTTGTCATCTCTACTATCGTACCAAAAATTAAATTATGTACAAAACCCAAAAGAAATCCAACTTTTTTTTTGCTAAGTATTTCATTATTTCTATATTTCTTATACAAAAAATTATATCTTCTAACGTTCTTTTAATTTTTGAAATATATACATTTTCAAAAAAAATATACAGAAAAAGAAAACCAATTTTAACGTTGAATTTGTCAGGTTCTATCGATTTTTATCCTAAAAAACAGGTATTCAGAAAACGACATCAGTGCTATCTTATTTTTTAAAAGTGCGAGTTTTAATGTTTTTTTTTTTAAATTAGTACAGAAAATTTGTAATATTCATTTAAGTGGAAGTTCCAGAAATTTAAAGTTGAGTGAAAATAAAAATAGTTTGGACATTTGAGTTGAAAGAAAGCGAAGAAAAAGAAAACAATTGGAGAATATTGTATACACTAACACTATACAGTGGGGATATCAGTGATCCCGAAGCATTCAATTTCCAATTCCAATTCCAACTCACACACACAATTTTTCCTTGAATCTGAATCTGAATCCGAATCTGGATTATGGATTGAATCTATTGCCCCTAAAATGGAAGAAAACGAACGATCCACATTCTTCTGATCATCTTGTCCCTTCCCCCAACCGAACAAACCAATCAAATTCAGAACAGAACCAACAACAACAACAACAACAACAAAATTCCGAATCGAAATCGGCGCAATGCCTACAGCCGATGATCGATCGATCGATCGAGTTCTTAATCGTATAACTACAATGCGGATGGATTTGTGATTTACCTGAACAGCGACGCGGCGCGGTGGTTGCGAAGAGCAGAGCTGGCTTTAATGGCGAGATTGCAGAGGTCGGGGAGGGAGAGAGGGGTGTGAGCCTGACAGCGGGGGATGAGGAAGTAGATTTGGCCGAGCTGGAGGTCCTCGTCGCCGGAGAGCGCCGGGACACAGCTGCCGATCAACATTTGCTCGGAATTGCAGAGGAGGAAGTTAGGGTTCCGGGAGGCGATTTTGGAGGCTTTGATCGGATCCGCGAACTCCTCGATTAATCCGTCCATGTGAACGATCTTGATCGTGGATCGGCGGTGGATTGATTCCAGTTGCGACACTGTGATTCCGCGCCTTGAAGAATTCGTGGTTTGAGTGGAAACGCAGACGCCCATTTCGGAATTGGGGGAAGGGGACGAAAAAAATTGAAAAATGGATGCGTTATGAGACAGAATTGAAATTCTTTAAATACTTTTAAATTTTGGCCTCTTCATTTCCAGATTTCGCTTTTTATACACACAGTTTTTTTTTTTTTATTTCGTAGCCCTTACCTTTTTAAATTAATTATTTTGGTCCAAATTTTCAAATGAAATATAATTATTTTGATTCTTGCAATTGTTTTTTGTCGTTTAATGTCTTTCATCCTATACTCGATTTAATTACCTTGTGCGTGACAATATATTAATACATATATTATATATTTTAATTACCGGATCGAAATGGAATAATCTTCAAAGTCTAGGGACCAATGAAGTAATGACAAAAGTTGAATAAACAGAAATCAATTTTTATGTTTAAATTTGGTAATCTGTATCAATTTTTATCTTGAATTTTTAATTTTATTGGATAAGACCATAGATTTATGTTAGAATTTTTTTTTAACTTTTACTAATTCACCCACTGATTTTAATAAAAAGTAATATGAAAAATCTTTAAAAATTTCACTAATTTTAGTGAAAATCAAGTTAAAATTAAAATCGTCAGAGACTCACATATTCCAATTTTTTTTTTAAACAGGTCTATTGTTGTTCTCTCTAAAATCTTATTAATTTTGTAGAAGACAAATAGCGAGTAACAATTTTTGAAAAAAAGAAATGAAGTTTTATTTCACCCATAATTAGCTCACACCTTAAAGTATTGGCAGCAGCAACAAAAGTCTTGGGTGTTAGACACTCAAGATTCAAGATCTAGGTTCATCTCTCTTGTAACGAGAAATGAAAAAAAAAAAAATATATATATATATATAGATATCATAATTGGCTCAAATTCGTTAATCAAACTTCTCACAATTAAGCAATATAACTTTTTTTTTTAATTACCAGTGGATTTCGTTGCAATATCAAAATTCTACTTCCTACTATTTAAATACCTATTATACTGAACATTATTAATTGTTTTCTTTAAATATAAGATAATTCCAAAAATCATGGGGTACTTCTCTTGCATTCTGCTTAGAGTTGATGTTTATGCCTATGTTACTCATTGGTACGATAGTGTTCATTCTAATTCTCAACCACGGATAAGATTTCTTTGAAACTTATTTGCATAAATAATTTGTTAAATTATACCTTGTTAGCATGTGGTTTCTTTTTTATTTATTTATTTACGTATGTCTATTTTTAATTGCATTATTGACTTTTCTATTGGTGTTTCTAATATGTTTTTGGTAGGTCTATTTGTTCTATCGGTACGTTGATCTCAAGTGATCATCTTTTTTTTCCGAAATATACTTAATATTTAAAAAAACACAAGTTTTTCTTCGAAATAGAAATAGAAATATATAGTTCAACTTTGATATAAATATAAATATATAGTTCAACTTTTTTAGGATTTTATTTTTTAAATAGTTTAAATGTCAATTTTAGTCCTGACAAATGAAAAATACTTGAGTGAGATAGATGATTTTGAATTAACATTAATTTTATTGATTGAATCATCCTTAACGAGTTTCTATGATTGATTTGTTGATTATACTCAAGTATTATTAATTAGTACTTAAAACAATAATTAAAGCTGGACCCCCTAATGAATAGAAAAACAATGACATATTAGTCGACCAAAGAAACTTTGGATTGATTTTTTCTCCCCTAAATTTAAACAATTTCTTTTATTTGAAAATTATTCGTACTAACAACTGCGTAAATATTATAAATCAGGATATAGTTCAAATGGTTATAAATTTGTCAACCTAAATGTACCATAGCTGAACTAGTTAAAACATATATTCCTAATCTAGAGCTCATAGGTTTGAATTTTCTCCCTTATTTATTACGTAATAATTTTTATTTTAAAATCACTATACAAATATTAATTTATTTGATAAATTATTTTTGTCTTTAAAAATTGTTAAGAATGCGACTAAAGTTCCACATTGACTAGAATAAATAAGAGACAATATACTCTATTGGTAGATGATATTTAGGTGAAACTAAAAGCAAAACCACTAGAGTTTATGCACAAATCAGACAATATCATAATATCTTGAAGATTTGGAGAGGTCAATTGATCTCTAATAATAATTGAAATAATCTATTCCTTAAATGCTAAGGTTTATGATAGGTATAAAACACTAATTTCACAACCATAAACTATTGTACTTGAAATAACAAAATTTATTTTTTCAAAAAAAAATATATCAAAAAACTGAAGGATGAATATTTTTCTTTTTAATACAACAAATGTGAGGTACGAAAACGACCCTCTCCGACCCGAAAGAGATGAGTAAAGGCCTTTAGCTGTGTGGTATGTTTTATAAAAAGGAGAAAAAATCCAACTTTACAAAATATTTTAGTTAGGCTTCATCAAATTGTTAAGATTATTTATTTAAAATATTATTTAAAAAATAGTAAAACTAAAATTATACTCTAAGTATGTAAGAATTTTTTTTGAAAAAAAAATGACTTGGCTCGTAAAATATCCAAAAAAGTTATTTAATATGTGGATAAATAAGGTTTTTTTGTTTTCCAATGGCATATATAAGTTTATCATAAGTAAAAAATACTTTTCAATCAACTAGTACATTTTTAGTACTTGTCCAGTTTATCATAAACCACCTTTAAAAAGAGGAGAAAAAAAAAACTATGAACCAAAGTTAATTTATAAAGATTCCATCTTTTTCTATCTAAGCAAAAAATTTATCTATTTCTATCAACCTTTTTATATTTCTATGGTCTCGACGTAGACATTTCTAGTTATCATAAAAATCGATAAAAAAAATTATCAACAAAATATTACTCAGGTAGATATAAGATTAATAATCATTTATTTAAAAGTATTAAAATGTTAATTGAAATATATATATCTTTTTTATAATTTCTTATATGTTTATGATTGTTTCAAAATTTTCCATGTGACATTCCATAAAATTTTTATCGCCACATCAACTTTAGAATCTTTCTTTTAATTTCACAATTTATTAGTTGGACAGTAGAATTTGTTAGAAAATATTCAAATTTTAGAGAGATACAGAGAGAAAAAAATATTAAAAATAATGCAGTGGTGGCACATTGTATTTGCTGTCTCTTATACACATCTGATATATACTAAACAATTTTTTTAATTTTTAATTATTTTCAATTATTCTAAGATTCTCTTTTCCCATCAAATCCATCTTCTGCACCCTACCTTCTGATTATATGTTAGTTTGCAAACTCCTTTATCAAACATTTGATTTTAAGTTATGATTAAATAAGAATCTATGCTCCGAGTGTGACCCAAAAAATAGTTATTAAATCTATTTGATAATTATTTAAATTTTAATATCATATTTTTAGAAACCAAGTTTGCTTTATTCTGTAATCTATTTTAGAAAAGCGTTTCGAAAAATAAAGTTCAAAATTTTAAAATTGACTTCGAGTTTAAAATTGCACTGAAAAAGTGAAAAATGAAATAAAAAGAGTTGTTACACTAGCTTTTTTCTTTTTTCTTTTCTTAATTAAAATTGTAAACATGATTTTCATTAAGCAAAGCCTAAAAAATTTAACTTCAATTCTGTATAAAATTGTTTTTCAAAAAATAGATGTAACAAAACTTCATGAGACATAAGAAAATGACCCCTAATAAATAGTAAATATCACATAAAATAAAAGCATAGTAATTATCATTATCAACTCATTCATGTTTTTTTAAATATCATATTTACAATCTTTTTTTTTTTTTTTTGAATAAGAATATATTTGTAATTACCTTTATAAAAGTACACATAATTGCAAAACATGGTAGAATATGAAGTTATTAATTTTGTTTTATATTAATACTTAATTTTTGTTATAAGTCTGTCTTCCCCTGTAAGTGAATTAATATGTCGGATTTACACTAATTTTGTTTTATTCTAGTATAAGTTCAAGTTATTAGAGCGTTAGATTAATATTTACTCTTTATTGTAACTCAATTTTAGTCTATCTTGTCCAATTCTTTAATTTAAAAGTAAATTTTCGATTGATTTAATCTATTTCTTTTAACATTCAAATTGATATTTTTAACTTCTAAGGTCAAACTTTCAAACTCTCTTAAATTAATAGGTTCACTTCAGAAAAACTAAAGTTGATTCCACCAATCCGCTCATAATCCTAATCTTATTATAAATCCATCCATTTTTTAAAAATAATTTTAATTTAAAGAAATGAAAACATTACTTTGGTAGTTTGAATCAACTCATTAAATATTATCAACATTTCCATCAACATTTACATGTGTTCATGGGTTCAACATCAACCTAAAGGGTAAATCTTCATAGGTTGAAAAAAAATCGACCAAATATGAAAAATATCACTAATATAGACATAATATTAATATTAATCATTTTAAAGTTATTTAGAGATATTAGAATGCTTATTTATTATTATTATTATTTTTGCGAAGTCTCAATTTTCCACACTTTGCTTGACTTGAATTGGAACCCGACCATGACGAATGCTTTCAGGCAAATGATTCGTCGAGACTCCTTCGACCCCTCAAATGCTAAATCTTCAGGCACCTTGACAAATACATCAACATTTTACGATCCATATTTCTATGAAATTGGAACTTCAATCACTTTATTTAAAATTTTAGTTTGAATTATATAAAGAAGGCATTGGAAAAAGTGAAATATGGAGAGATTTTGAATTGGGAAGCACACCCTCCATTAAGATTAGTCTTCTTTTGTCCATTATTGTAGAAAATTTGAACTGAAAAGTGTGATGTGAAGCCTACCAGCTGGATCCATTAGAGAGATCACAAATAGCAAAAAATGACAGAAAAAAAGGGCCACAAAAATTAAAAAAAGATGATTAAAAAATATAAAATAAAAAGAAAGATTTGGAGAATGAAGAAGCTGCTAAGAAAATGCCCATAAAAAGGTGAAATTGTAATAATATGAATTTATCATAAGCTTTTTTTTTACCTTTTAAGAGCAATTCAATTGCTTACCCATTAATGAAAAATTAAACCCTACTCCCTAAGGAACCTTCCTAT